AAATATGCATTATACTCTTTATCTCGGTAATAATTTTGTTTTATGCAAAATCAGCACATGCACCGATCAGCCATATTTCCGAGATATCGCCGTTTTCGGTGTTTGTTTGCTTCATATTTAAATTATCTTATTATTATGCTTGAAAACTTATTAATAAATCAATTTCTACACATTAAAGGAATAAATTATTATAATCAGAAAACTCCTTGTTTACTTGGAATAAGAGTAAAGTGAAAAACTTGTAGTGTTATGTGCGATGTTTTGGTTAAATAAACATGGCAATGAAGGAGTTGCCTATCCCGTTAGTAAATATGTCCTTGATTTTATGCTTTCCATTCAATTCATACCTACTCAATTCTTCTAAAAATGAGACTACATAACTATTTTACTTGCGTATTACATGTAACGGATTTTCCCCCAATTTTAACTCCATATTTTTGAAATCTAACCGTTTTCAAGCCTAATTTTTTTGTTAGGTAATGGCGCTCCAAATAAATTTGCTGAACTTCTAGCATCTGACAAAGAACGAAATTTTCGGCTAGAGAATTTTTTTATTTCATTTTACATAAACTATCAATGAAAGATACAGTATTAAGATTTTAAGCTAAGTCGACAAAAAAGTCTGAGAACCTTTGTTTTACTCAAAGAAGGAATTTTCCATTATGCGGAGTCTCTTTAAACAACCTTGGTAGTCTTTAAGACTGTCTTCGCTGTTTGAGGCGATCATTCTCACTGGTGAGCATTTGAATTCTTCTCAGCATATTACTTTCAAGTACCTGAAACAAAAATTGACAATATTTGTTAAACGCATCTGCAGTTTCAGTGAGCAATAAATAATAGATTTATTTGATAGAAAAATCACTTTTCACACATGGAATATGTGAATTCGAAGCTATAGTAAAACTCGGTTATAGCGAAGTCCTTGGGACCTTTGAATTTGATTCGCTATTTCCGTAATTCGTTATATCCGTATAACGAATTCGTATAACCATTATAGCTTTGCATGCTTTCCTTCAGTTATTTCTACTAAATATGTTAGGGAAGGAAATATTACTAAACATATCTTCATTAACTTAGGTTTTATTTTGAATTAATTTTTATATTCAAATGCTTAAAGGAAATAGGGTTAGATCAGTTTATAATTTTTTTAATAATCTCTGAGAGTTCGTTATAAAAGATGTAAATATCATTATAACTAACTTCAACGGGACTCAAAATCAGTTCACTATATCCGTAAATTCGTTATATCAGAGTTCGTTATAACCGTAAAATTTTACAAATATTTGTTAATAATTTTGCCGGGGACCCACAAAACTTCGCTTTATCCCTTAATTTGCTAAATCCGTGTTCGTACTAAACGAGTTTTACTGTACTTGTATATCAAAACAAATGGCTCAGGTGATGCTCATTTCCTCTAAGGAACCCAATCCCAGATTTCCCTGGAATTTTACGTCTTTTATTCCCCAATCACAAATTGTATTGCTGAAAAACCTTTTTGAGATCGGACATTCTTTGTTATTTTTATCCTTATCATTACGTTTTTACCATCTACGATTTATTTGGTTCATAAGGCCGATTATTATTCTCGGTTTCATTTGTGCCAACAGGATGAGAGTATTTAAACCCCACTCTCCCACCATTGGGACTGCAGTCTACCACAGACAGACTTATCCCAGTATAAGCCGGTAGCCACTGAGGATTGGTGGACGAAGACAAGCAAATAAAGCGTCTTGTCAAGGGAAACAGCACACACTGTCAAGTGAATACAGTAAGGCTCGAACCAGCGATCTTTGAGATATTGGGTTAACACCTAGGACTTCTGAACCACGTTCTTCACAATGGGTATTACGACTCTCTTATCATTTTAATCACTTCAAGTTGCTTTAAAATTTTAAATTAACGCAATAAACATCTCATTTACAAATGTGTTCTCCAAATTATGTGTTCGATTTTAATAATGTCATTACCTTATGTTTATTGCATCTATATTAATGTTATGGTTAAAACTTTCTTTCTTCATTAAACAAATGTAAATAATTGCAGCCCGGAGGACCGGGCTGCTCTATACATATAAGTTTAAGTGTTGGTATATGGGGATTGGGGTGGAAGTAGTGATTTAGGTTTTCTAAACATTGAAAAGATTGTTAATCAGAATGTCCTTTCCGTTCAAAAATTACGAGATACATAATTTACTGAAAGGAAAAAGAAACACATAATAAACTTTTAGATAAAATCAAAATTTTTATTTCCAAAATGTTTTCCAGTATTGTTATCAAACAATGTAATCCAACTTTAAACAACAAGTAACCGAAATCTTGTGTGACTTTGACTGATAATTCCTGAGATATTGAAATTGATATGTCGATACCCCCAAAAATTAAAATAAAAATTCTCATCATCTCCCTTGCGCATCAGTAACTGCCTTGACTTTCGTGTGCATTGAGTTCACCTGAGCATTAATCTTTATCATAGAATTATCATTCAAGCCTTCCGACAATATTGTTAATGGTTGAGAGTGGCTGTATTATTCCAAAGCCAACAAATCCCCCCGCCCAATGAATCCCACAAATTTTCGATTAAGGATAGAATTTACAGAATCTAGCTGATTTGGTACACGTGAATGTTTATAAGGAAGTCTCGACAAACACTGGTTACATTTTCTCAAGCTAAAAACATTACGCATACGGCGCGTACGTTCGCTCGTGAGAGTAAAAATAGACGTAAAGTTGCCAAGCTTGCGTACCAAATTAGAGCAGAGAGTTTCTGTCAGTATTAGGGTGAAAATATGAGTATGACCGTCTGCTGTTAAAATATCGATGTCAGTGATAATGACTTGACAATAACCGAGGTAGCATGATGAAAAGCCCTATCTTGATGTGACGTTGTTACGCGCCAACATCACCGTCATGGTTGGTTGGAAACCTTTTAAGTTACTCTCTGACAACCGAAAAATTTTTTTTGGTTGAAAATTTAAAAACAAACAGCACAGCAACATATTGTTGCCTTTTTATTTACTTATGGAACTCAATTACTAGACCCAATGTAACTTACGTCAGCCATACCATGATTGCAAGAAATTTATACTGACTGCAAATATCGGAAAACGATGTGTGTAACTCTAATGCATCGATTGGCACTACAAAATGGGATCACAAAAATGTCATCATCAACATGCACGTGCATTTAGCTTTTTATCACTTCCCCTACGTGACGCCATACATTTTATGGTTGAGTAATTTTGACCAGCGATTTAAGTGCACAGTAACCAAATCACACATCTGACCAAATTTCATAATTTTCGGCCACATAGTTAAATTTTTTTCGCTATTATGCTATTATGCGTTTTTATTTCCTTTCAGTATATATTTACTTCCATGAAGTGAATCTGTTAAAATATATATGCTTTCCATATTTGATATAAAGTTGCTTATCATTAACTTTCGAAAAAATGACAGGTCCCTTTTTCTGGAACATCGATTTTTACTTCTCGGATAAAAACTTCTTCTGCACAGTTCGTGTTTTATATTCTAAAGTTGAAAATGAATACATTTTTAAATATAGATGATGCGTGTGTCTAACTTCAATTTATATTTTATGCAGCCAACATTTACTTGAGGAAGTCATCAAGTTTAAAATGGCATCGCTTTTGATTGATTTTTAGCTGACTGCAAGTTTTCAAAATATTCGCTACTATCGTCTCCATCAATTAGACGCATGCCTTTTCATTATTTTTGAAGAAGCGGTTTAATGATCAAGACTCAATTCCATTGTTTATCTTATATATTTCCCGGGCGACAATTGATGGTTACATCAATGTTTTCTTGTCTATTATATTTATAATGGTATATGTACATGTACAAACGTGCACTGTTATAAATTACAATTAGAATTTGAGATAATATTTACCCTTCGCCGTCCCCTTTCTCGTATGATGGCCGACAGAGTATAAAGTATTGGGTTAATAGCAGAATTCACCGGTAAAACGAGCACTATGATCCAGGCGTAGACTTCCAGTGAAACGTCAATACCATAAAACGTCAGCATACCTAGAAAAATCAATACCTAGAAATGTCAACATACCTAGAGAGGTCAATACCTAGAAATGTCAACATACCTAAAAACGTCAATACCATAAAACATCAGCATACCTAGAAAGGTCAATACCTAGAAATGCCAACATACCTAAAATCGTCAATACCATAAAAAGTCAGCATACCTAAAATTGTCAATACCATGAAATGTCAACATACCTAGAAATGTCAATACCTAGAAATGTCAACATACCTAAAAACGACAATACCATAAAAGGTCAGCATACCTAGAAAATTCAATACCATAAATACCATAAAACCTCAGCATCCCTAGAAACGCCAGTACCATAATTTCTTTTTGCCAAAAGTGTATTTTGTACCAGGATTAAAGCTGTATATATCTTGTGTATGTTTCTCAAATAATTCATCATGCTCAAAATCGTAACATTTTTATTAAAGCCTGATTGAGACGTCACATTAGAGCAAGTTTTTCTTGTATATTTCACCCCGTGGTGATCCGGGTTAGAAAAGTTCCTCAGTCCCCCTTGCTTGTCGTAAAAGGCGACTAAATGGGGCGGTCCTTCGGATGAGACCGTAAAAACCAAGGCCCCGTGTTACAGCAGGTGTGGCACAATAAAGATCCCTCCCTGCTCAAAGGCCGTAAGTGCCGAGCATAGGCCTAAATTTGCAGCCCTTCACCGGCAATGGTGACGTCTCCATATCAGTGAAATATTCTGGAGAGGGACGTTAAACAGTATACAATCAATCTTGTATATTTCTACGCGTGAGTTAGAATACACAATGATGACACGTAAATCAAATTCACGGTTGGATTAGTAAAAAAAAAAACCCAGCAAATTTAATATTTCAGTTTAATAATTAAAATCGTGGGTGCTGAGAATTTCAACTAAGTATCCGAAGAAAAATAGACACAAAACAGAAGCAGTGATACATGTACCGCGACAGTCATTAACCTATGCGGGAGGTGTCTTCAAGCCTGTATTAAAAACTAGAGGTACTGTGAGCAATGAGCTCACTAAATGATACCTCCGCCTCCCATATGGTTATAACTGGTGAAAATGTCCATGTTTTCCTGTGGCCGGGATACCCAAAATATGTGTCGGATCAAAAAAGTAAAATAGGAGGTGCACAATGGCAATATGTAATAAAGATTCTGTGAAAGTTTCATCAATTTCATTCAGTGGTATGAGAGGAATTGCGGATAAGAGATGGGTACCCCAAAGAGTAACATACGGACGGACGGACGGACAGAATTAACGATTACTATATACCCTCCCGCTTTTCAAGCGGGGGGTATAACAATGCATTTTACGTTTATTCTAGAAAAATTGTACTAGACACAAGTTGGACAAGAAGAATCAGTCATATCTAACGTTTTTTCTCTATAGCAAGAATTACATAAATAGTATTTTAAAAAAAGAAACATATCACAGTACCGGGGTAGTCTAAACCTAACAATATTTCCCTCATATAATCATCACAAACTTTCCAACAGTTGTCAAATTTATTCAGCACAAAATTGCCAATAATTCCAGCATGCACAAAACTGACCAAAAATTTCCTTATTTTAAGTTCAGCACAAACTTATGAATAATCACATTAAGTATCGAGCACGGACTTACCAATTTACAAGTAATATCCATAAATATGCACACAAACTTACCAATAATTCCTATAGGTACCCAGCACAGAAGATCAGTGATGACCACGGCAACGACAGACTTGGCTAGTGCTATTTCCCTTCGGCGACAGTTGGAGGCTTGGCTATTTTTTCCAGATTTATTTACTTCCAAGATAATCAGAAACTGTCCAATGCTGATACCAACGAAAATAATGAAATTCAACCCAATAAAAATGACCATGGAATATTGCCAACCACTTTGTCTGTGGACAGATAATGGTAAACTTATGCAAACAGGAGACTGTGCATAAAAATCTTCAAAGACTGACAACTCCATAGCTAGAATAGGAAATAAAGATAGAGAAACAGAAAGAGCCCATGAGAAAACAGATAATAAAATCACCCATCTTCGTTTATTTGGATAAAATGGATGTTTGACTGATACAAATCTGTCGAAAGTGATGAGCAATACAAACAAAGCTGATGCTTCACTTGACATTGTGGCTAATATCCCTGCAAAAATACAAACACTACTATGCCGCCATTTATAGTCCTCAAACCTATATACACCAGTATACATAAGATTAACAATAGCTATTATATAAAGATATACTCCCATGAACAAATCAGCAATACTCAGATTACAAGACAAAATCAAGTATTCAATGGAGGATTTATCTTTAAATGTTATGATGTTACTTATGAGGGCAACAATATTTCCAAATGTAGCCAGAAATGCCACATACCAGATAACAACACTTAGAACAGGAACGCTGATTAATTGCTCACAAGAAGATATCTCATTATGAGGGGCAACACACTCCACTTCATAGATGCTGCGTGGTTTTGCACAACATAAGGAAAACACATCCACTTGGAG